GTATATAAGAAATTATTGTAATTCCTTATGATCTAGAAATATTTTATCTACTAAGAAATCATTTAGTATGCGTGAAAACAAAGATAGGGAATTCTTGAAATTCATTGGCGTCAGCGTCATCTTTCCGCCTTTTCACTCGACTATCGAAAGCTGATAAACGTACTGGTGTTAAATGCACATCGAAAATACTACATATGCATATATATGTTTGGTGCGGTCTACTGAAACAAAAAAGAGAGGTGCACAACAAGATGAGTTTGTTTATGGGACTTATAACAGTTCCATAAACAAAATTTCAACTTTCTACGGCTAATCGTTTTTCAGTTATATGCGATACATACATACGTACGTACTTACTACAGACATCACGGAAAAAAATCCCTTCTGAAGCCATTTTGGATGAATTTTATGTTTATTCTTCCTTTAGTCCTTTATTCTATCTGTATGTACAGATGTCACACACAGAATTCGTCTAAATGAATTGGAGAGTGGTCAGAATTCGAGAGTGGGAAATGGATTCAATATTTTCTTTGAAATATGGTACCCGAAAATTTGTGTGATTGTAATACTTCCTTTACGTCATACAAGGAAGCAAAAAATTATGAATGAAGGTCAACGTAAATTGTTACATTAAAACTTAATAACAAATTATTTTTGCAAATATATTTTTGGAAACCTCTATAAAATACAGAAGGTTCATCTGAATTTGACATGAGTACAAGATAATGAGGAATCTGAGAAAACGGGATTTGTTTCAAAGAAGTTTTATTGGATTAGCAACTGAATATTTTTAACAAGAACATTTGTTATAATAGCATGCGATCAGATAGCATTTTAGAAAAAAGTTACTGGTTTTCTCTACATATAATAAAAAGAAGTATTTGTCTGTCTGTGCGTTGTTTTCGTTCGTGCTGCGCGTAAGCTAATAGACCCAGGGCTACGAAATTTAGTACATAGGGTGCATCTAGACAAGAGCCAGTGCACCTCGAAGCGAAGTGATTTTTTTCAAAATTCAAATGATTTTTTTTTTTTTTTTTTTTTTTTTATTTTACGTTTTTTGATGTGCATCAAATCGATAATTCTCCCTCATTATATCAACAACGATGGCACGCCGCCATTGTTGCTAATATATAACTGTTGCCACTCCGAAAAATGAGGGCGATAATTCTGTGCAGTTTTTAAATTTAATGTTTCTCCTTGATACTGGACGTTTTCGAAAGAAGGCAACGGGAAGATAGTTAATTTGTTTATTAAGATAATTAATATTTGTATTAAGGGATATTGCTTATTTGTAATTTTTTTATATGTAATACATTTTTATTGAATTTTTTTGATAAAGTTGTTCTGCAGAGTAAAATTCTGCCCAGTTTTTAAATTTAATATTAGGGGTTCCTTTTAGGCATTTTTTTCGGTACGTTTAAAAGCCAGGCAGAAGCTAGCCGCATAGCGGCTAGTATTTTATAAATTTAATATTTTACAAACCATTAAAACAAATCATTTTAAAATTTATTTATTAGTCTTAGAATTTACAATAATCGACATTAAGATAAAAAAGGAATAAGAAAAAAGATTTGAAACTGCATGTTATTTCCAATTAATGAATTTTATTTATAAAATATTACTATCTTTAGTCACTGCTACCAGAATTTTTTAGATTGACAGAAATTAAAATACTCTTCCAAAATAACGTGCTCTAAAAGTTTGCTTTTTTTTTTTTTCCTTCAAAACCTCTGTGTGAGTAAGGTTACGTGTCAAACATGCTAGTGGATTGGGGAAAATGTTGACTGCTGCATTAAAGATTGTCATATTAAGTCTTTAGACTTTGATTAATTTAATTACTTAAAGGAATTTGTGTCATTTTTAAAAGCATTTTAATAAAACAAACATGTGCTTTAACAAGTGCTGAGTATACTTTAATTTCAGTGGCTAAAGGGACCTTAAACAAGATATATGCTATCATTGACAGATATATCATTTTCCTAGGGCAAATATCAATGACATATATGCTGCCAGCTTGAGTCTTCTTCGTTTAATTCTCGCGTCTTTTCTCTACAATTAGAATAAAATACATTTGGCTTGGGAGTTGTCAGATGTGTAACTGGCAGCAATTTTCATCGCAGAAAGTCATTCCAAGGCAATTATAATTGCAGAAAGTCATCGATATATGTGTGTGTGCGTTTTAATTGATGAATTTAAGGAAATTAACGCTGCCGTAAATTTCCTTGGTTAGTAAAATTATAAAATTGAATTTGCCGTGATATTACGAATTAAAAAGGTATGAGCATTATGTCATATTGTAATAAATTATATGAAAATACTCGCCAAAGCAATATAACGCATCGGTAATCTATATTTATAAAGAAGAAAGTCTCTGTGTGTGTTTGCACGCTAATAAATGAGTCAATACTATAACAATCGTCTCCCAAACTTTCTAAAAAATTTTCTAAAGTCCTGTAAAAGGTTGACGTCTACTTTTTTCCAAAAAGAAAAATAACTGAAAGCAGAGATATTAATTAAAAACTCGGATAAACGAGAATTTTCGACCTCATTTTCCCGAGTGGCAACAGTCCCGCAAGCTGGAGATGAAAATCTGCTTTATTTTGAAAGTCGTTGCCAAATCGTAGAGTTTGTTAAGAAAATCGTAAAGTTTGTTACTTTCAAATCGTAGAGTTTGTTAAGAAAACAATTTTTAAGTTTTACAATGAAATAAAAATAACATTGCCAAACATTAAAGTGATTAGCTGAGACATTAATTAAAAACTCCGAAAATATTAATTTTCGCACTCATTTTTCCGAGTGGCAACAGTCTCGCGCGTTGGAGATAAAAATGCTTTATTTCAAAAAGCATTGCTCTCTTAGAGTTTGTTAATCAAAAATTTGTACGTTTTGCGAAACCTGTACATATAAAGAAGAATATCTGTTTGTGCGTTTGTTTGTTCGTGTTATTTATTTCTGATCAATTATAATAAATTTCTTGCCGCGTTTAATAGACTAAAATTGAATGTAGGTGAAATATTGAATGGAACTTGATCTTTTACAACCATTTTATTAAAAAGACAAAAATCATTAAAAGCTTCGTACCATTGCTGCTTAACCCTTTGCGGCACAGTGTGTCCATTCTGGACACACTTAAAAATTTCCTTCTGTACGCACAGAAAAATTGAATGAAAAAGGATTTATAGATTACTCTTAACCTTCTTTATTTCTAGTAGGTGGCAACTCAACACAAACCAGTCCATATATTTTAGCCATGTTTAGATTCTTAAGACCCACATTTTTCAAAGAAATCTTCCAGATTATTTTAGGGTATTAAAGGAATTGTTTGAAAAGAAATTTCTATGTTATTTTTTGGCTGTATGCTAATTTCCTTATTCCAGATTATTTTTTAATTTTTACCTTGAAATCTTGCCTAAAATCAAACGGCGAACCCTAGGTGTGCCCAGACCGGGCTCACCGATCATCTAGGACAACTGAGAGTCTGTATTTTTGGTTTCTCCGCATGTCATCGGTCTGTTCGTTGAAAACAATGCCCGTTTCAGCACTCGTTTTGAAGCTCTATTCAATCAGTGTGCCACTTTAGGCACAACCACAGAATTAAAACGATAAGTGCTATTCTCACAAAATTTTACTTGTGTACTCCTCTAGACCTAATTAGACTGCCTACATTTTTTTTTTTTTTTTTTTTTTTTTTTTTTCTTATCAGAACTTCGACTTTAAAAGGTAGTGTGTCGGAAAGGGTTAAAATGAGAGAGAATTACTTTACTTCTCTATCGAAAATTTTTTATGTGTGTTCCATATGGCATCAGACGGAAACGTGCATGACTATGAATAGCATTTTTTTTGCATAGTTATAAGAGAAGGATATCCGTATCGTTCTTTCTGTTGTTAGATACATTACTCTCAATCTAACGTAACTGGCATCAGGTACTTCCGCTAGTATAGAAATAAAATAGACGAATTCTTTTATTTGTATTAATCATAATGACTATTTCACCATCTGTTATTTGTTTTAAGTAAATACACACTGACCGCATTGTACGGTACTGTATGGTTAGTGTAAATTTCTTGATTGACATACATCTGAGAGGATTTAAATCCGATAAGGACTGGTCTTTCATGATTTAGTAGTGGAAAGGATGAGAGGAGTATTAAAATCTGCTGAGATTAAAGTTCTCTATCAATAAATTACTAATAGTAAAGACTCTAAAAATATTAGAACGCCTCCAATAACCTCCAGTTTCATGTTTCATTATGCACCCGTGTCAAAACTACCATAAAGCATAAGAGAAATAGAAAGAGAAATAGAATCATCTAAAAATATTTAAAAACCGTATATTTTTAGAATTTCCGATAGACGATCTCTTGTGCTGGAGATAAAACTGCTTTATTGGATCCAGGTATCGTTGTTTTTTCGCAGTGAGAAAAACATACATACATTCATGCTGATCCTTCATTATTTAATTTCTTTAAATATAATGCAGGGCCTCAATATTTGGTGGCAACAATCTGAAAAGTGATATAGCCGTTTATAGTAATACGACGCAAAATACCGTTTCGAGATTAATAGACATTCTAGGCAAACACTCTTTTGGGCTAATAAGAACTTAAAATTAATTACTGTTCATTCTACGGAAAACGGCTGAATTTTCAAAGGGAATTACTCATTTTCCACTAAATAATCAATAATTAAGGAATGATCTATAATTATGAAATTCTCTCTCTCCATATATATATATATGCAATTGTAGTGTTTTAAGTTTCGATGTTTCATTGCAACATTTTCTCGTCTAAAAGTATGCTATCTTTTAAGGCTACTGCATTGCAATGGGGATATGTTTAATTCTTTAACCAAACTCTTTCTCGTAATACAACAACCTGTGATTAATACTAATCTAGTTAGTAAATATTGTATCATATTTTATATCCCAACACTGTGTATTGTGTTAATTTATCGATGCTGATCCCACATGCTGATCTTGTAACCTTTGATTTTCTTTTAGTGCCCATTCAAGTTCGTGTGACTCCAACTCAACAAACGATATCCGTTGGTCAGGCGACTCACTTTAACTGCACTGTTTCCGGATTCCCACTTTATGGGATCTCCTGGACAAAGAACTTGCGTCCGTTGGTGACGAATGAGAGAATCCGACTTCTGGGCACAGATGTCCTGTCTATTAGCTCGGTCGTCCGTGACGACAGGGGGATCTATCAGTGCTTCGCCCACAACAATTTCGACTCTGCACAAGCCTCTGGAGCTCTACTTCTTGGAGGTATGGAACAAATATTTGTTTTGGCTTCTCTAGGAATTTCATATAAAGGTTTTTTTTCCCGCAACAGTTTATTTTATATGTTATCAGAAACACGAAACAGATGATATTGCTTGTATATATATATAATTTTATTAGAAACTAATAAGAAAAGAAAAAGAAAATTAAATAATTCTTTTGCGCCGATGCTGCAAAAGAATGAAATATGAATTTAACAAATACAATATTACTATTCCATTCAAATAAAGCAAATTAAAATTTTAAATTATGAAAATTCATTTGCCAACAAAATAAAATGATAAATTATTGCTACGAATTAATTTGTAATAACATTCAATTTCCTAAAGCATAAAGTACAAGCATGTAAGTACATGAAAAAATATAATACAATCCAAAAATTTTATCTTAAAATCTTTAATTTTTCTTAAACTAAATTTAATTTGCATAAAGTGAATAATTGTTGAGCAGGCAGGAGAGAGATCTTTTCAAGAGGATGTAGCCCCAAGCCTAACTCTTCAATCACTCACTTCGTGTTTCTCAATTCAATTATTCACTTTATGCAAATTAGATTTAATTTTTAAAAAAATAATATTTTAAGACAAAATTGTTGGATTGTATTATAATTTTTCATGTATTTAGATGCTTGTACTTTATTTACTTATTCTGTATGGATTTGAATAATATTGCAAATAATTACTAATGAAGTTTGGTCAATGTGTAAGGATTATATTAATTTATCTAACAGTTATATTTTGAGTTATAGTTACTGTCCTATCTTTTCTTAATTTCAAGCTTCCAACTTCCGGCCAGAAAGTATTTTTAGAATCGCGTTTCAATGCAAATGAGGAGAAGTATTTAACTGTGACGTTCTACTGACTTCGTGAGAGAAAACCAGTGTTTCTGACTAGCGCGCGTTCGCCTTTTTAGGCTACTCTCTCTCTTAAGCTATTACACGCTCCGGCCGTACTTAGGCCCTTGATAGCTTCGCCGTTATTTAGCGTTAAGGGGCCAACTCTGTTAATATCTTGATAGCTTCGGCTATATCTTTTTAGTTAAGTTTAATTTCTTAGTTCCTGAGTTCAAGCCCGAGTAGAGGCTTTATTGTAAAACACCAAGAAGGAGTTCTGTAAATTTAATTTGGAATAATAAAGGGTATTTAAACCTTCCCAAGTTTCATTTTCTGTCTCACGAACTCAGGCGATTGTTCGCTTACAGTTCTTAAGATTCTTTAACTTCAACTGTAACTTAAAAGTACACAGGTTAGAATGTTACAAATGGAAAAATTTTCAACGCTAGCGATTTCATATGAATATGAAATTGAATTTTTCGGTTCAATTTTATATCATTCAACAGAAGTTTATTACCCTGCAATTATCTAGGTTTCTGACCCTGTTTAGATAAAACATTTTTTTTTTCCTTGATATTTTTCTAATAATTAATTTTCCGTAAAAATGCCGTTTTGCTTACTTATTTACTTTCATACAAAATGGACTAAAAATGTTAATGGGATGATATTTTAAATAATAATTGTTTCCAAAATAATGAGCCTTACTCGATTCTGAGGACTAATTGCATTCCTCCAAAGTTACAGATTTGTAGCGAAACCTACACTCACGTAAACTTAAATAAGACAAAATACTTAAAAAAGGTGTTCTAGTAGTTTACTGCTTTGATAAGTTAACCATTATAATTACTATTGTTACTGCATAAGGTATTTTCTACATGCCTTCGTGGTATAATGGTAGCACACTCGGCGCGTATTCCAGAGGTCCAGGGTTCGAGTCCCGCGAAGGTATTGCGTATTTTTCCCTTCTCCTGCTTCAAAACACCTAAAGCCTCTAGAACTGCTTTCTCATTTACTTGTTGGAGACATATATAATACAGCGGTGTGCAATTTATGACATGTGCAAGAATTCGAAGAAAACGTAACTGACATGCAGCTGTTTCCGGACACTGTCATTAAAAGTTTTTCATTTTTTAACACAAATACCACCATCCGGTATTACTACTGTTTACCAGGTTGTTTCATTAAATATAAAAAAAAGGGGAGTACGGAATTTTGTCATATTTTATCTTTGAGACATTTTGCAAATGATTTTACTATTTCGAGGTTTAAGCACGAAAGTGCTTTTATTACTCTATTTTCATTCCACAGTGTTCCATAATTTTAGTTAATAAACTACTTGTAGGAGCATTAGGCTGTTTTGAAGCAGCAGACATGAAAAATGAACAATGCCCTTGCCGGGACTCGAACCTAGACCTCAAGAATACGCGCCGCGTGTGCTACTGCTACATTACGAAGGCATGCAGAAAGAAGAGAGAAAATACCTGATATACTCCCTCTTTTAAAGGGCACCTGGGGACTAGGGGACCCAATCGCCAAATTTTGGTGGTGAACAATCATCATCCACCCCCTTTTTTAGTTCGGGAGCCACTTTAGAGTCAGCAGTTTTTTCCCTCTCTCTTTTGCTGGACAAGTGAAAAATGAGCATTGTCATCGCTAAGACTCGAATCTCGACTTCTCGAATGCGTGCCGAGTGTGCTGCCGTTACACTACAAAGGCATGCGGAAAAGAGGGAGAAATTACCTGATATAATCCCTCTTTTAAAGGGTACCTGGGGATTAGTGGACCCAGTTGCCAAATTTTGGTGGTGAACAATCAACATCCAGCACCTTCTGTAGTTCGGGTGCCACTGCAGAATCAGTAGTTCACTGGACAAGTGATAAATGAGCAATGTCTTCGCTAAGACTCGAATCTGGACCTCTCGAATGCGCGTCGAGTGTACTACCGTTACATCACGAAGGCATGCAGAAATGAGTCAGAAAATAATTTATATACTTATCCTTTTAATGGGGGGGGACAGTGTATTACGGGACCATGTCTTCGTATTAGTAACTTTATTTGGATTTATATTTTATATATGTATTAGCAAGTATGCATGTATTATACACGATTGGAAGGAACTTTCGCTTCCTAAGAAACACGGCGCAATTAAAATCTTCAATGCCTTAAACTGCTGGGTTGACAACCAATTCTGTATGGATTATGTAATACTCTGGGACGGAAGCCTATCAGTGAATTTTGGATTTCGGTATTACACGGGACCCAATCTCTAAATCCTGGCGTCGAAAAATCACCATTCACTCCCTTTTAGTTCGGGCGCCACTGTAGAGTTATTAGAATTTTTTGAAGCAGGAGACCTGAAAAGTGAGAAACGCCCTCGCCGGGACTCGAATCTGGACCTCTCCAATACGCGCCGAGTGTGTTTACCGTTACACCACAAAGTCTTGCAGAAAGGAGGGAGGAAATACCTCTAAGAATTGGATATATAAAAAACTGAAAATAATTTTAAAACTGAATAAAACTTTAAAAAAATTTTAATCGCATTTCTTTCTCACTTAGATAACTCAAAAACATTTAGCTATGAACCTGCTAAAAATAGTATTTAAAGGTATGCAGAAGTATTAATGTAACAGGAATTGCGTTGTTTTGACTGGAATGATAATTACGGCAATTATATCTCCTGATGCTTAATAACTGCCATCGTGCTGGAACACCATAAAGCCCCATCATCAAATTCGGGACAGTTAGTGATAAACGCCATGTTTAAGTCATAGAGGATTTGCTTTCCGTCCGAAAGCTAATTTCCGTCTGAGCATTCCAGGTAACGCAAGCACTCACAACCTATTACGCATCATCGCTAGATTGTCAAAAGGCTCTGCCTACTCAGTAAACATCGAATTAATGATATTTAAAAGGGATCCTACTCTACGATCTAGCGCGATATTAATAGATCGAATTTCAACTGAGGAGTAGAAATTAAGTTTTAGATTCTCGATGGCGATTGGCTATATTTCGGATGATCGCCGATGAATCAAAATTAAAGCTGCACACCACGCGTTCCCTGCAGCTGACACAGCATTAGAGCAGTAATATATGACTGCTAATCGCAAAAGCCGTTTACTGCTGGTTATTACCCGTCAATCCCTGCGGTGAAATGGATTACTGCGATATGGCATCTCGATAGCGATAACCGTGCTGATGAGTTATAAATTAAACCAATCGAGGACAGCAGCAATTCTCGCCTGAGGGATGAAACAAGTAAGGATTCTCACCTTTTCGGTATAAACAGCCAAGGAGAGTTAAGTCATTTCAGTTTTAATTTATTTTACTTGCCACAGGCTAGTATTTGATTAAAGCAAGAGTTTGATTGCATATGTTAACTCTTGTATATAACTCTTAATATTTATTTATACTTCTAATCCGCTTAAATAATAAAGTTGTCAGGTTTTTGTAAAGTAGTGCAAACATAGTGATGCGAATGTATAAAACATAATTAATTTTCATGTAATAAACGTCTGCCGTTTATTCATAGGTATTTCGAAGTGTAGCTTAAAAACGTTATGCTTAACTTCGAAAATTTAAATTTTCTTTCCTCACTTCTGTTTCTTAAAAGAAAATATATCAGTGATGTGGTTGTAGAGTCATTAGGATTTTTTTCGGAAGCAGGAGAGATGAAAAATATGCAACGGCTTTGCCGAGAATCGATCAGATAGGTTTACAAAACTTTTTTTTGTCTTTTTATGATTAACGTTTTGCGTGTTTTCTTTAATAAATATCACATTCTTGGTACTACGCCACATAAAATTAGATTCAACTGAAAAATCACAAAATATTTAAAAACAGCATATCTTCAGAATTTCCGACAGACAGTCTCGCGCCCTGGAGACAAAAATAAGTTATTCCATATAGTGTTGCCACTGCTCGCTTTGAAAACGTTCGGTTTGTTAATCAAAAACTTGTTATACGTTCGTTCGTCGTTTGATAATTAAATATTCGTTTTTCGTTATTGGGTTTTACAAAATAAAGAAAACAGATTATAAGAGAAATTCGAAATTTGGACTTCATGGTGCCCAAGTTCAGGCCTAAGTTATTCAAATTTACAGGGCTGTAGGTCCCGTTATTTTTTCACAATGCAAGAAGCATGCATCTATTCATGCAC